CTGAAAAAGGTGATTCACGGGGACAGAAGGGACTTCCCTGGCATTTCAGGGCAGCACCACCTGCTCCTGCAGAGCCACTGCAGGTGAGCTATGTTTCTATGTGCTCAAGGAGCCACCTTCACAGGGGGTGATAGAGGGAACTGATGACCAGGGAGAGGAGACCCAGGGCATCTGCTAGTGCGTGCTAAGTTTGTACTGAATTGAGCATGAACAAACAATTCAGAGGATGCGCCTGGCTGGCTTCTATCATCCTGTGGGACTGCAGAGCAAGCCTCATTTGTGCTGGGTTTGTAGTTACCTCATCTGTCCAGATCTCTTGCAGTTCTAAAATCACATCACCCCATTATCGTTACAATAACAGAACAATTGTTATGGAATTTTTTAAGGTTCCATACGTACTTTGGATTCTGCTTTTCCAGCTGGCAAAAACTCCATTTCAAAAACTGGATTATCATGGTGACCAACAATGACAAAGTAGAAGCTTCCAGACATTGTCTTCAATATATATTAGCTCCTAGTTAAATGAAAATAACACACATTTTTAGTACTCAATACTGAAAACCAAAAACCAGGAAGTGACAAACTCCATTTTTTTTTTTTTAACTTAAACCTGAATTGCAGAGGAGGTGGCCCCTAAGCTCGGCATGCTTTCCAGTATGCCACCGTAGATACATGGCTTTTGGATGATACAAATTCTTTATCTGTGATATGTCCTGGAGAATCCACTACTACATTTTCATAGGGAAACTGGAAGACCTCTAATATGAAATCATAAGAACAACATTCTCATGATCCGAAAGTGTGGAACATTTAGGGTAAGCTGGCTTAAACTTGGACTAGATCAGTCAGCATTGGCACTAACACCTGGGTGCTGATGAGGAAATAACTGACTTGCCTTAGAAATTTTCAGGAAGGATGCTTCCAAAGAAGCTAAGAACCACTCTAGCACGTGTCCTTTACAGAAAGGAGAGCTCCTAGAGTGGTCAGCTACAGACTGTGTGGTGCTTGTATTCCTACCTAAAGGGTCTATGCTATGAATGTAACTCTGCACATAAAAGAGCCTGTTATATGCCTCTTCAAACACCATTTATGAGAGAGGAAGAAACAGTTTTGTACTCTAGAAGAGATGGAAGAAGTCATAATCCAAAAGGAAGACATTCTGAGTCATTAAGAGGTCTTGGAACGAGGGTTAATAGGTTTGCTACAGGAATAAAACAGAGAAAGTGGAGGGTGGGGGAGAAATCACAGATTCTGGGGCGTTTAGCACAATCGAAATCTGGATGGATGGACGGACAGACGGGCGGATGCATTTATGTATGCATTTTTCATACGAGGTCTTTGGAATCAGACGAAGCTAGGTTCACGTCTAGCTCTAGTGACATGAGCGCAGGCACGTGGAGACATGGGGCCTAGGAAGGCCCCCTCATGGGGCGGGGATCTGCTTTACTGGGAGCGTACAGTAAGGCGTGTCTGAACCCAGGGCCCATCGAGCCTCACTGGGACTTCCATGCAACGACATCTGAAGACCTCAGAAATGTATTTCCTGATGAGTACAACATTTTGTACAGGAAATCACGGCACGGCTGGCCCCTTTCACTCTGGAATTGGAAGGCCGTGACTGGAAGAAAGGGAAGATAGGAGACGTGTGGCATGATGAAGTGAGTCAGATTTAAAAGGTTATTTGGGGCAGCGGTTGGCACACTACGGCCTGCGGGCCCTATCTGGCCTGGTCCGTCCTCTCACTACCATCCAGGACTGCTCCTGCCCTACAATGGCAGCGTGGGGTGGTCGCCACAGAGACCATCTGGCCCTTTACAGAAAAAGGGGAAAGATGAGAAAAAGACCCAAACAGTAAAACTGGACAAGAAAGACGGGCAGGAATGATACAAAAGCTCTGCAACACTAGGAGAACTGGCAGTAATTCTCAAGCACAAGTGAGGGGAAGAGGGATGGGAGCCTGAAATTTTAACCAAGTAAACAATGACATCATTCATTCTTGCCGGAATAGGTTTCATAGCTGGAGTTTGCCAAGGGAAGGGCTTACTTTCTTCAGCACAAACATTTAAGCAGCAGCAGGGGAAAAAAAATACTGTAAGGAAGATGCTTCTCTCCCTGCACACATTTAGAAGCAGCCAGAGACAATATATGTATAGGGAAGATTACCCTCCTCCCCGCCTTCCCCCAAACCCGCTCAACCCTATATGGAGACCCGGGTCTGGGAGACAAGCACCTCCTAAGAACAGCGTGAGGATAAACAGAAAGGCAACTGCAGGAAATACCGCAAAAACGGTCGATCACAAACTGCTCAGCTACGCAGAACCAGAGCTGCCAATCGTGTGATTTCACACACAGCTGAAGAAGGTATGCAGCTCTCGATTCCATTCTGACAAGGAAAAGCTGAAAGGTGTAGTGGAAGAAAAACCGCAGAACATAACCGTTTTGTCTCAGGAACAGAATGTCCACATTCATTTAATACTTGGGGCTTCTCCGCCTAGGTGGTGAGCAGAGGTGAGACACGCTCTAGAATTCCGTGCTGTCTGATAAGGGAACTTTCTGCGAGGATGGAGATGATCTACACCTGCTCAGTTTTTTCCATCACCTAAAATAGGGGCCCTTCAAGTGTCTCCAAGGGCTCGAGGTTATGGAGGCAGTCACACAGAGCCTGGCAATGGATTAAACTGGGGAGCTGCAGGAAGAATCGAGCATGTTTCCAAAATGTCTGGCAGAGGTGATCGAGCAGAATATCAAGATGATGAACCTATTCACTGAGAGCGGAAATAAGAAAGAGAAGGAAGAGGGACGGAAATGAACAGGTCGGTTTTGAACGTGTGGTGGCAGCCAGAAGAGCTCCCCCGAGCCCCACCAAGATGTCCACATCCTAATCTCGGGAACCTGTGAATGTTAATGTATTCAATACGTGGCAAAGGGCATTAAGGCTGCAGATGGAACTAAGGCTGCTCATCAGCTGATCTTCAGATAGGGCGAGAATCCTGGGCTACTCAGGTGGGCCCAATGTAATCACAAGGGCCTTTAAAAGTGGAAGAGGGCAGCCCCAGAGGAAAGTCAGGGGGCAAGTGTGGTTGTGGGAGTATCGCCACGGAGATACAACATTGCTGGCTTGGAAGATGGAGGAGGGCGTCATCCGCCAAGGAATGCGGGCAGCCTCTGGAAGCTGGAAAGGACAAAGAAACAGATTTTTTTTTTTTTTTTTTTGCGGTACGCGGACCTCTCACTGCTGTGGCCTCTCCCGTTGCGGAGCACAGGCTCCGGACGCGCAGGCTCAGCGGCCATGGCTCACGGGCCCAGCCGCTCCGCGGCACGTGGGATCCTCCCGGACCGGGGCACGAGCCCGCGTCTCCTGCATCGGCAGGTGGACTCTCAACCGCTGCGGCACCAGGGAAGCCCAAGAAACAGATTCTTCCCGAGAGCCTCCAGAGGGGATTTCAGCCCAGTGAGACCCATGTTGGACGTGTATGCTACAGAACTGTAAGATGATAAATTTGTGTTGTTTTAAGCCAGTAAATCTGTGGTAATGTGTTATGGGCACAGTAGGAAACTAACACATGTCAAAGCTGAAAAAACCTGTAGGGATTAAGAAAAAAGGAAATACTCCAGGAAGTGTCAGCAATAAAGGTAGAAGGTGCATTCTATAGAGACTGGGGACAAAATGAGTTTATTTTCCACGGACGCGGGTTTCAGAGCCCTGTGGCAAGCTGGGGGAGGGTGGGCCATGGTGCGTCGAGGTGAAGCCCCTGGGAGCAGTAGGGGGATGAGAGTATGGAAGAGAACAGCGGGTGGGGCTGGGTTTTTCCAGCAAGTATCCCCTACAGCTAACACAGCCCTTCCGCCCCCCTTGCCCAAAGGACCTGTGAGGAGGGGGCTGTCGTTTGGGCAGTGTGTGTGTGGGGCGTGAGGGACGGTGCTGGAATATAGGAGAGGGAATGCAGGAAAGAGGTGTTGTGGGGATTAACTCTCCTCAACAAGGACGAGAACCTTCTGAAAGTTCCAGTGCTGAGGCCCTCGGGGCCTCAGGGGCCTGACTGATGAATGCTGTGTCTGGGTGATGAACAGCACGTTTGTGAGAAGTTGCCATAGTTGTTAAAGTACCAATGAAGAAATCCTCCCTTATAAGGGCAGGACTTGTTGGCTGAAGGGAGGGGAGCCAGGACTCCCATTTGTGGTGAAAACAGTTGTCTGTGGTGGCTAGAGTGTCTTGAGCTGCTTTTGAGAGAGGTAACTAAAGAAATGAACAAGGAGCTGTGGATTTCCCTGAAAAGACCGTGTACAGGATGTAAGAAGGAGCGCACTAACTAGTAATGAACGTAAAAATGGGACCAGAAGAAACCTGTGAGGCTAGCACCAGAAGGGCAAAAGCCCAAAACAAGCTGAAATGTGTGGAAGGCTTTCAGGCTACCACAGGGAAAAGCAAGGGAGAAAGGTCAATTAGTTGAGGCACCTGTACATAAATAACACGGGACGCAGGTGTGCTGAACTTGGGTTTTCTCAAAGAATGATTTTCACACAGCAAGTGTGGAAGCAGTTGGGTTAGGCAGGCTGTGAACCCCAAGACAGGTATGTTAAAGAAACGGGTTGACAACTGACGGTGTAACTACTGGTCAGTGACGGTTGAGAAATCACAGGAACAGAAAAGAGCCAGTAACTGTCATTCCAACTCTGGGAAACAAAGAGGCTTGCCTCCCAGTCTGAGTACTTCCAAAGAGATTAAAACACCAACAGAAATAGGTATTAAATGCCTGTCTTCAGTCAGACACCATGCTGGGGGCTTTTATGACAAACTAAGTCATTTAATGTGAATCCCTAGACAAAAAGAGTGGGTTACCACTCACTCGTTCTAGGAGAACAAGTTATGTCAGACCTACACTCGCTGTTGGGGAAGGGAAATACGGAGACGGTGAGTCACTTTCTGAAGTCCTGTGGTTCTCTACCTAAGAGACCTGTAGCCTGGACGACAGCCTCTGGTACCCCCAGAGCCACAGCAGTGCCGGGGCCGGGAAGTGCTCGTTCTCTGCTGAAGGAGGGACGGTGCAGGGCTGACTGGAATGTCAAAGTGCTCCACGTCAGTCGACAGCATGGGGTCTCTAGGGATCCTTTGAGGTTGACCTTAACCTAGTCCAGCCCAAGGTTTGCATCAGTAACTGAGATGAAGCCAATTTACCACACCCAAAGACAACAAGCTAAGGGCACCTAATTTATTAGAAGGCTAAAGTTAGGATTCCAAAGATCTCCACGGCTAGGAGAAATAGGCGACATGAACAGGATGGAATGTAAAAGGATTTGAAATAAAGTCCTGTACTTGGGCTTAAATCAACTGCACGACAATAGGATGCGGGAAACCTAGTATAAGAGCAGCTAGCTCATCTATGAGAACCGGTTTTCATTTATTGACAGCTAAATCGGAGGTGGCAATCTGATACAGTGGCCAAAAAAGCGAATGCAATTCTAGGCTGCATTAAGAGAAGATGATATCCTCATCACTAATAATACCATCTCTGGGGGACATGCTCAGTTCTGGGAATCACATTTTAAAATCATTAACTCTGAACTGTGTGTGCTGGGAGGAGGGAGGCATCTAGGCTAGGGAATGCTCTGGAAACGAGACGAAAGCTACTGAAGGAACTGAGGATGTTTAAACCGGGGGCGGGGGGAGACGTTTTTTGCGGGGGCAGTGGGCTATGGTGCAGTCTTTAAATACGATGCTGTCTAATGGGAAGGGATTTGACTAGGGATGGCAAATGGGTTTTTTCCCATGAGCCCATTCTAATCAACTAGCAGTGAAGGCCAGGAACTAGTGCTGAGAAAGATTCTGAGACTAAGGTGGTCAGCGGGAAAGACTGCTGTGATCAGTTATCCGCATCTGCTACGGGTTTGGGAGAGGGCAGTGCCTATGGGAGCGCCAAGTATTTGCTAGCTCTGAACTAGACTTATTCCAAACTGTTCCAGAGGCCAAGCCTAGGGCTGCTCCGTTGAGGTTACATGGGAAGACATTTGGGTCAATATAATTGAGAACTTTGTAACAATTAAAGAACTATCAGACTGCCTTGTGAAGTGACACAGCACCCCCACTCCCACCCCCGATCACTAGAAGTGTGATAAGGGGAGGCTGGAAGACCACTAGTAGTGCCAGAGTGGGAGGATGAACCCAAAGAACTTAGAAGGCCCCTCCGAGACAACTCATGGATGCCAGTTCCAAAACCACCCATTTTTACAGCAAACCTCTTTACAGCCTCTATAGAGAAACTTCTGGAAAACTTCCCTGTGCTCCCAACAGCAGTGGCTTCACTTGTTCCACAGACCTGGAGCTGGAAGACTAACCTAGTGTGGCACAAGACATGTCCACTGCAATAAGCAGGATGAATACTCTTGATAGTTCTCTAATAGGGTATTTTTCTATTAATATTAAAAGCAATTCCTCTACCTCACCATAAGTGAGGTTATGCTGGCTTTTGGACATTTAATCTAAATCTATTCAATTTGGGCACCAAAGGTTGGGGGTAAGAGGGTCTTCAGGCACAGATGTTTTTATTTAACAGTACTTGCAACATATTAACATTATCTCAGAACATTTTTCATCATCTCACTATTTGCTCAAAAGCCTTAATGTTTCTCATCTACAGGGATCAAGTACCAGTTATCAAAAATGTAGTCCCATGTTGCTGTGTACAGCTTTTCTCAACCTCATTGCTCTACCCTGGCTACAGTGGACTGGTATACTTCTTTTCTCCCCAACTGACTGTGTCCACTCCAGATTTATTTCTCACTTCATGCCTGGAATACTCTCCCTGATTCCATGTGTAAACCTCACCCGTCTTTCAAAGCCCACCCAAATTCCTCCTTCTCCAAGTATTTCCCAACACCAACCTACACGCTCTCTACCTCTTATGGAAGCCCTGTCACTCTTGATGCCTCTTAAATTCTCTAAGTCTTTCACCGCCAGGGGTGAAAATTCATTGTACTCATCAGTGCTGTTCACAAAACCATCACTGGCCCAATTTTGTCCTCATGGGGCTGAGAGACCTTATACCCACAGCATGGGACTCTGGAGTCAGGCCAGATGCCTCACTGCTCTTGAAAGGGTTCTGATTTTTTTTTAATTCCTTTCAGAATGTTCCCCCTTCCTCCCATGCTTTTTGCCCACCCTCCAAATTCAACCCAACAAGGCCCTGATGAAGTCACACTTTTCAGAGATGTACCCACTCATGTCCATCTCCAACCACTTCCCAGTCTACAGTGCATCTTAGCTCTTAGTCAATTCTCTGGCTGTAATGTTTTCATTATTGCTTCTCGAGAGACTGGTTCCTTTTCTTTCGAATTAGATTTAAGTATCTGGGGGACCCGGCTCACCTATCTTCACAGCACGTACAACGATGGGTACTCAAAGTTTAGCTCACTGGTTTTCAACCACAGGTAATTTTGCCTCCCAGAGGACACGTGGCAGTGTCCGGAGACATTCACGGTTTTCAGAACCGGGGGCAGGGGAGAGAGCAGGTGCTACTGGCATCTATTGGGTAGAAACCAGGGATGCTTGCTCAACATCCTGCAGTACACAGGACAGCCCCGCAACGGAGCATTTTCCGGCTCCAAACGGCAATAATGCCGCGGTTAAAAAACCCGGGGTGAGCTGAATGACCCAGTGAAAGGTACAAGAGGCAAAGCCCACGAGCAGGTGGACGTTTGCAGGTTGAATCGCGCTGTGGACTGGCCCGGTAGGTTGTGAAGAGCTCAGCCGGCCCCGGGGCAGAGGGGAGAGACAGGGCCAACACTCGGATCCCGTGGGGCCGGGGACATCCCCCAGAGTCCCGGAGCGCCAGCCGCCCACTCGCTCCATTTCCTACCTGCGGCGAGACGCCGGGAACAGAAACGCCCAGTCAGTTCCCGCGGCCGAAACCCGCGTTCCGCAGCTTCCGTAGGGACTTCTCAAGCAGCCCTCGCGAGACTCTGCCGTTGCGCTCTCGCGATAGTGGGCGGAGCTTCCAGCCGCAGCGCGGCGGTGCAGCTCCGGGCTTGCGTTGTAATGCTCCAGACTAGGGCGGCTGGGCTCGGAGGACCTCAGGGAGGGGTGGGCTCAGGTCAGAGCGG